TGGGGCACCCTTCCTGGAAAGGGCGGGGGGGGTAAAATCCCCCCGGAAAAAACCCCTTTAAAGGGGGGAAATGGTGGGGGGGAAATCCCTTCCCACCGGGCCCCGGATTTTGCCAAGGGGGGCAGGGGGGGGGGGTTTTTTTTTTTTAGGGGGGGCAGCCCCCCCGCCCCCCCTCCCATGAACGTTAAAAACCTTCGGGCCGGGTTTGGCGGTGGTTCCCCCCCCCCCCCCCCCCCCCTCCCACCTGCTCCAGAATCTCCATCCCCATGGTCCCCGCTCCTGCGACAATCTCGACGTCGTCGTACCCGTTGATGTACCGCATACCCTTGATTAAAAAACGACGGAAACAGAAAAGGGGAGGTAGGTCGTGTATGGCTTCCGTTCGATCGAACCAGAGCCCTCTTGAGTGGTGTATGGCACGATACGATACGGAATAAATCAGTACGGCTATGGTAGAGTCCGTATTGTACGGTACGTTTCGGAGCGGTACGGTACAGTAGGCCGGAAGGGGTCTCTTTTCTAATAATACAGCTTGTTACAGCTGGGTGGCCTTGGCTTTCTTCAGGGACGATACTGTGGAGCCTCGCAAACGTTGGCTGTGCGGATACACTACAATGCTGCTCTGTGACGGTCTAACCGGGTTTATTAGCAGCAGTGCCGTGGCATAATCATTCATCAACACCAAGGTTGTTGAAAAAGCGAGAAGTTGAACGACGATACCTTGAACTGCGGCGCGCTGGTGGCGTGGTCCTTGGCCTCGAGGATATGCTGTCCGAACTGCACCACGTTCACGCCGAAGGCTTTGCACTTGTTCACCTGCATAGCATCACCCCAGCACAGCCGTAGTGCATGTGTTGCGATATTGGAGAGTGGTCGATCGGGCGTAAAGCGTGACAACAGGCCCCGATGACATAAGCAACAACAAGAAGAACAACAACAACAGAAAACAGCGGACACAAGTACGCCGACTACGAAAACACCGAGACACCCAAGAAAGAAGAAGAAAAAAGCAAGAGCAGCAGCAGCAGCAGCAGCAGCAGCAGCAGACGAAAAAGCACAGGGAACGAGAAGGACGGCAGATAGAGCTCCAAGCAAAGAAACCGCCAGCACGCCTGCCCTCGCTGCTGCTGCTGCTGCTGCTGCTGCTGCTGCAAAACAAAATTACACTGCAGTTTGCCTATATCTCTACCGAATCTTGACCGTCTCCGTTTAACGTCGTCAGAGATATGTTGCAGCTCCTATCTCGCCACACATAAGCACACGTGATCCATCATAAAACCAAGTCTCACAAGAAAAACAATAAACAACACGTGCACGCACGCAACCCCGAAAGGTTCCGTCGACAGAGCCTGGTGGGTATGATCATATCTTCCCGCAAAAAAACAGTGTCGTTTTGTCATTGGTACGCCCGTCTGGGCACGGCCGTCCCGATGCCGCCGAAATACAAGATACTGTACACATACACGCATACTAGCTCAGCCTCGCCCCATGACGCCCCCCTCACGGAGTCCCAGATCATGTGGTCTTTAGAAGATTTCAAGGGTGTATTCAGTAAAGTGTTACTAAACGCCGTACTCAGAGTATTGTGAGTTAGTATACTCAAACTCGGTTGGTCAGTACGGTTGAGTAGGGTTGAAATACTTAGTAAAACGCTTGAGTACGAGTGAGTAATTTCGAAATACTTACTCAAAGGCTTCAGTAAAAGTTTGAGTATTTTTGAAATACTTACTCAAGGATTTACTCCAGGTTGAGTAAGTATACTCGAGCAGCTGAGTACGCCTAAGTACTTCTGAATTACTTACTCAATCTCCTGAGTATCGATGAGTATTGTTGAAACACTATGTAACTCGAAAATCGGAGTACGGATGAGTATATTTGAAGTACTTACTCAAAGGCTTATTTAGTATTTGTTGAGTATTTTTGAAATACTCACTCAAGGAAATACTCAACGGATGAGTAAAATATTCGAGTGCGCATGAGTAATTTCAAAATATTGACTCAAACGGTTGAGTTTTTTGAAATACTTACTCAACCTCCTCAGTATGTTGATTATCCCTGAAGTACTTACTCAGTCTTCGACTATGGTAGTACTCTACCCCTGGAAAATAATAATATCCGGTGAATACCACCCGAGACTAAAAGCTCACTAATGATGACGTCGTCAGTAGTGCGGGGCATTTTCTGCGGGCCTTGCGTGCACCACCGCTACACACTCTGCTGATACACACGATTGCTCGCGGCTCGCGACTAAAGTGATACTCAATACTCATCGGGTAGAGGTAGCGGCGAGGTTCCTAAGTGACGCAGCTGCTGCAAATGCAAAGGCACCCGATGATGCAGCACCCTTGGAGGCTGCGTAAGCAGCAGCAGCAGCAGCAGCAAATGCTGAGGTGCGCGTCAGAGAACCGGCTGTTGCTTACAGCACGGTGAACTCCGAAGTGTACCCTGTGACGGCGGAAACGGTGTCCGCCGTCAAGAATTTAAAAACACCAGACGGTTCCCGCAGGAAGGAGCTCGCGAGGACTCCTCTCTCTTCTCTGTGGACAACTGTTGCAAGCCCCTCGGAACCCCACGGGGCAAGACCTACATCGCGAAGTTGTACAATATGACGTACTTACTGAAATGCCAGAGTACGCGTGAGTAGTAGTTCTGAAATACTTATACTTACTCAATCTCCTGCGTATTGGTGAGTAGTTTTGAAATGCTTGAGTACGAATGAGTAATTTCGAAATACTTACTCAAAGGCTTCAGTAAAAGTTGAAAATTTTTAAAATACTTGCTCAAGGATTTACTCAAGGTTGAGTAAGTATACTCGAGTAGCTGAGTACACCTGAGTAGTTTTGTAGTACTTACTCAATCTCCTGAGTATCGATGAGCATTTTTGAAATACTTACTCGAAAATCCGAGTATGGATGAGTATTTTCGAAGTACTTACTCAAAGGCTTTAGTATTTGTTGAATATTTTGAAATACTTACTCAAGGAAATACTCAACGGATGAGTAAAATACACAAGTATCTGAGTACGCACGAGTAATTTTATAATACTTACTCAACCGGTTGAGTATTTCCTGAAAAAATACTTGAGTATGAGCATACTTTACTAAACACACCCTTGGAAGTTTTTTTTATATTTCACCCGCACTGAGACTGACATATTTTCATTGGCCAACCGGATAGCACGGTCGATGCTAACGGTAAAGACAAACACACACAAACACCTTAGACACCACCCCCACCCCCAGATCAGGGCCACGAGAAGCGTTTTCTGTTTTCAGCCGTGTTGAGATTGACGCACTTCCATTGATCAGCCGGTTATGTTAGCGCGGTCGATGCAAATCGTCGATGCCAATCGATGGCAACTAGGAAAACACACACATTCACACACACACACACACACCTTGGTGAGCGGCGCAATTGTAGGCATGACGACCGTCACCGGGATCCCCAGCTGAGTGCCGTGCCACGCGAGAGCGAGGGCGTGATTTCCCGCGCTGGCGGCGATCACTCCCCTCTTCCTCTCCTCCTGTAGTAGAAGTAGAAGTAGCAGTAGCAGTAGCAGTAGCAGTAGCAGTAGTAGTAGTAGTAGTAGTAGTAGGAACCCAGGGACGCAAAAACGGCGAGAACGAAAGGCGCTGTAACGTCAGAGGAGGGTGAGGAACGGGGGTAGCTTCTCTCCCCTAAAAAGGAGCCACAACTACAATGCAACAGCTGAATGTCCCCCCACGAGCATGGGCACGATTCCCTCCTGCGCGTCCTTTGGATTGAGTTGTTTCGAACGCGTTCATTGCCGGATCGAGAGATATGGGTGGAATACACGTCACTTCCCTCTTGACGCAGCTAGTAGTACCGGCCTTCTTAAGGCCGACTCTCTACAAACCCCGACCCTCCTAAGACCGACCGTTTCCAAAGACTGACCTTCTCCTAAGACCGACCCCCTCATTTAACGCCGACTGTCCGCAGAAAGCGAGAGCGTTGTTGTCGTGTAACAACTAGGTTGTCGATCGATGCTCGGTAGCGAGAATAACGTCTCGTATCTCATGGACAAGGCGATTCTCCACTTTTAACTAATGCTCGACAGTCAGGTCAAGCCCGCGTAGTCTTTTCTTATTGAACAAGTCGGTAGTTACCATCTGAAGATGAAACAAAACAACCAGATGTCTGATCCTATTTCAATAAGTAAAACAAGTAATTTACCATGTAAAAAACATCAACAACGTTAACTCAAGGCAAACGAAAGGAAAGGGGTCGGTTCTTCCTCACCTCGTCGAGACACATCAGAGCGTTTCGCGCGCCTCTCTCCTTAAACGATCCGGTAAATTGGCTGAACTCCTGCTTGAGGTACACCTGCAACAACAGGGGGGAGACAAGAGGCAAACAACAACAACAACAACAACAACAACAACAACAACAACAACAACAACAATCTCAGGCAAATGAAAAGTGGAGATTTTGCTGGCTGGCTCAAAATTGAGGGCCACCCAGAGGAAGCGCAAGAAATTCATCAGCGCCAGCAGCAACATCAACAGCAAGCTAAGAACAACCAACCAACCACCAACAACGCCAAGTAGGGTCATGGAGCGGCACCCGGAAAAAATGTAGGAGAGACGCAGGGAGGGGTTCGGATAGGCAGCAGACGAACGTCTTGGAAACCATTGGTCCTACGATAAACGTCTAAATATCTTGTCTTCGTGATGAACAACGCGGACGTGAAACTGCCCCCCCGCCCGTGACCCCTCTCCATGACAAAAAAAGCATTTATGCTGGTGCAGGAACGGTACATGCATAGCACGTAGGCCAATGCAACAACCACACACGGAATCGAGACACAGCGGTTGACAGCAGCACGAGCGAGATGCGGTACGATAGCACGCACCCAGATTCCGAACTCTTTCTTTTTCAGTTTCTTGCCCCAAACAGCTCCCAGAAAGACCCGAGTTGTTTCTTGTAAGTTACACCTATGAACCCATCCAGCCTACGAAATGCCAGACACAACTAACTCCCACAAAAACTCCAGTTCTTGTCTTCTTTGTCCGTCCAGCCTACAGCAGCGCAACCCGTACACACTCGCCTCCATCCCGCAGAGATCGCTCAAAAAATGGCTCCTCTTCATGTCTGACCGGACGATTCCGTCCCGAATGCGGTGCATCGCCTTGCTCACGTCCTGGATGAAGCAAAAAAAAAAAAAATGGTAACCAGGACGGCAGTGAAAGTTCGGTACAGAAGCAGCAGGTGTTGCCATCGTTGTGGTTTGGTAAGCAAAGAAAACAAGGAAACTAACCACGTTTGCGTACAAATAGAACGGCTGCACGCATACATGCATATGTTTTAGGTAGGTATGTGAAACCGCCACCTGTTCGGAGATAGGAGCAATGCGGGAGGAGAGCTACACAGTATCGCTGGATCAGCCAGCTGTCACTCTGCTCGACCAGGACGGTATCAAGGACGTACCAAAGCTTAGTCGGAAGCCTTCTGTACTAGAGCCCGACCAGCCGCTGGGACATCTCATACGCGGTGCTTGAACTGACACGGCCTACAGCAAACCCAGCAAGCGTACATGTCCAGGGCTAACTAATCATGTACTCCCGGTACCTCAAACAATGGCCAGAGTCGGAGATCGTGTGCAAGAGCGGGAGCTTAAAGATCCAAGCTCGGGCAGATGCAAGCTTTGCTCAAGACCTTGAGAAGACGTGGTCAACAAGTGGATACCTTTCATGGACCTCAGCACTTGAGTCGCTAGCTGAACCTAGCACAACGGAGGCGGAGATGGTTTCGATCTCCTACACACGCTGCACGGGAATGCTGCTACTTCAAGAGATGTTCCTCAATCGGTTCAGCAACGTTAGAATCAGAAATGATTCGGCAGGCGCCTTAACGCTAGCGGGGAACAACTCCTAAAGCGCCGGACGAAGCACCTTCAGCTGCGGAGGCGGTTCACAACGGAGCAAGCTCATCGAAAGCAGGCGTTTGAGCGTAAACCAGGTCCAGTCCGGAGATCTACCTGCCGACCTCTTCGCGAAGAGCGCTACAACGGCCATCCACCGAAAGCTAGTCCATCAGATCCTGACCTATTCAACCTAAGAAGTGAGGATCTGTGGAGCAGCCAGGAACTCCCCCGTCACGAGGGCTCGATGGAATGTAAGATCAGGCTGGGGGACACACCCGACACACCCACACGCCCCCCTTCTCCACTTTCAGCTGCACTCTTCTCTAGCTCTCCTCTCCGTCGTCTCCCAAGTACTAGCCTATTCACCGATGTAGCGTTTTATCCCCCAAGAGGACCTTCGAAGGAACTCTCAAGCTGTTCCAAGACGGAGGCGCTGTGCGATGTCGAATCGGACTTCAGCGAATGGCTCGAGGCTTCACGCTACGACGCCCAAGGGACTCTTAGCTATTATTGACGAGCTGCAACCAAATCCCGGTTAAAGAAGGATGACGAGACCAAGGACAGAATCTCTCAGCTCCTTATTAATGGAGGACCCGTTTCTACGCCAGCAAGAAGGACCGCCATCTCGACCACCACCAGAAAAAAGGCACGACCACAGGTCCACCAGCGAAGTTTCAGACGACGACGTAGAACCTAGCACATCATCTATGTAATGAAGAAGGCTTCAACAACAAAGGACGAGGCGAGGCAAGGCTCGTTTCTTCAACTTAAAATGGGGGTGGCTCGGTCACCTTATGACCTACGCGATCTTTACACAGCACTCCCTGCAGCTGAGCGCATCTGGATCGTGTTACGAGACGTAGGAATTTTCTCGTGCAGGACTCTTTGTGCGACACAATTGTGAA